CCTACCGTCGCGCGATGCGTCCAAAGAACAAAGCCTAGGCCGTCTGCCCCGCCCAATTGGGTCGCCGCGTTAGCCTAAATAGGGGATAAAATTTATATCAATGCACATGGTTCGAATTCTATTTTGAAATGCAGTCCAAAGGTCTGCAAAAAATTAAAAAATAACGTGGATTAAGCTTGTGACGCAGTTAGGAGATCAGGAATGCGCATGCGCAAGAGGGTGCCAGGCTGTCGTCGTTAAGTGCGTGCACGCGCACGGCTACCGTTTCCTTTTCGTGGAGGCTGGGTGCGAGAGGGCGAGATGGTCTCTGAGACTGAGCATGCGCATAGTTTGGTCGATGAAAGCAGAGCCTCCGCCCGAGAATAACCGTTCTGCTCATGCGCAGTAAGGACCAGCGCCGTTGGCTTCGGCGGCTTCCGGTGCGGTTTTATGTGGGGGGAGGGGGGAGGATTGGGCGAGTCAACAACAGCAAAAGGTACCGAAGTAGAAACAAATATCTATTTAAATTAATTGTGAGATTTGCTTGCAACACATGTGTGATTGCTTCTGGAGTTATCTGAAGATAATAGCTAATTAAAATGATCTGTCCTTGGAGTCAGGGCGGGAAGAAGTGCCTGAGGTTTTCTCAAGGTGACCTTGAAAAATGGGGCGCAATGGCGCATGCGCAGCACTGTTTGTGCGCCGCGCAAGATGGCGGCCTCCAGTCGAGCCATGTTGCTGGGTGGGAGCTTGGCCTCTTCAGCGGCCCGCGCGGCTTTTAATAGGTTTTGCGGGCTCCGGGTAAGAGGACGCTTCCTTTTTTTTAAAATAGGTTGATTCGTATACGGTAGAATAACTTTTTTTAAAAATAGGATGCCGTAGTAATTTTTTACAAAAATTCCATGTTGTATTTTTATTTGCATTATCACTAGTTTGGCTGAGGATTTAGCTGCGCAGGCTAATATACCTGCTAGTATATTCTCGTAAATTTTGTGAAGTATTGTCTAAAGTTTGCTCCTAAGAAAGTGAATACTGTATGTTTAGCGTGACGGTTTAGGCCAGAGTTCTTCAAAGTGGTCAATATTGACCCGGAAGGATCGATGTTATTCGTAGTACTATTAGTTAAAGTAATATTTATTAAATTATTTTCATATCATAAACGTTTGGGGGTCGATGAACAATCTGAAACTTCTTGAAGGGGTCGATGAGCTGAAAAGTTTGGGAACCCTTGGTTTAGGCCGAAGGTCTCTTATTTCTTAAACTCAGTGGTTTTCTTTCATCCCTTTTTTCTAAACTGGTCATTCCTCTTTCTTTAAAGGAGCTGTGGTGTTCATAGTTTCATTTTTATATTTAGGAAGAATAAATATTCTAATTTCATGTTAAAACAATATGTTGCCTATGTCATGCTGTTAAAATGTCATTTTTGTAGACAATCTCTGTGTCTTTCTTGTATATTTTTTAAAATCAGTCTCCTTTTGATTCCCAGCCTATATTTATTGAAATAAACTATAAAGTTTTGCTTTCTAGAATACAGAACTTTGTTCCCAGAGGCTACATTTTTAAACTGTCTAGCTTGTTACAGATATGCACGCGTTTCAAAGTACAATAGATAACTCTTGGTTCTGTTGTTGCAGCATAAATATTTTTACCACTGTCCTTTTAGGGACAAGGTGGGAAGCTGTGATCCGCAGAGAACTGTTTCAGCTGGTCTTTGTGTCTGGGATTCTTGTCTCATAATATGAACTCCAAATACTTCCCCTCCCCATGGTTAACAGGGGAAGGTAGCTATCTCTCATTCTTCTGATGATATATATGGGTGGTTGTTTGTTTATTTATTTATTTTTATTTATTAATCAAATTCATATAACCACCCATCTCACAAAAAAGTGACTGCATGGTATACAACACAAAAGTGACTCTAGGCGGCGTACTCTGGGCAGGGTTCGTCAGTATTGGGAAAGTTGTACTAGTAGATTGTTGTGTTTCAGTTTTTATTATTTTGGGAAGTTTGTGGGCTGCTTAGAGTCAAACAGTATTGGAACAACATAGAAGTTTAGTAAATAAATAACTTGGACTTGTCTCTGTTCATCTCCTGACAGTGATATATGCTGTCTGGGAGTGATAGTTGTACAAGTAGTCCTCGCTTAATGACCATTCATTCAGCGACTGTTTGAATTAATGACAGCACTGAACAAATGATAGTTACAGCCATTGCAGCGCCCCTGTAGTCATGTGATCAAAATTCTGGTGTTTGGTAGCCTGCTTGCATTTACAACGGCAGGGTGCACTACCCCCACCCGCCTATCCTCCCTATCTCTGCCCCTTTGGCTGCCCTGCACTCTGCCGCCCTTGTCGCTCCCAGCTGACTTTCATGGTCTTGTTCCTCCTGCTGCTGACAAGGCACACCCAGCCTCGCCCTTCACGAGGCAGCTGCTGACTGCATGAAGCCTTCCTGAGGTTGTGTGCGGCCAGCAGCCACCTCGCAAAGGGCCATGCCGGGTGTGCCTCAGCAGTGGGAGGAAGAAGATGATGAAGGTCAGCAGGGCCAATGGAGTGCAGGGTGGCCAAAAGAGCAGAGATGGGGGAGATAGGCAGGTGGGGGGAGCTGAAGCGGAGGTGAGCACAGCAGGGCAGTGAGCTTAAGCGTGAGGTCCTTGCCTAAGACCACAACCAAAACTGCTGTCACTGAGCGGTGCAGTCACATGATGTTTTGCCTAACAACCACATCACTTAGCAATGGAAAGTCTGGTCCCAATTAGGGTTGGTAAGCTACTATCTGTAAATATTATTGCTTACCAGCTTATAGATAATAGTAATGATTGTAAACTTTGTTTTGCTAGTCTTCTGCCTGCCTCCTGAGTCATCTACAACATACAGTGTAAGGACTGTAACAGGCACTATGTAGGACAGACAGGCAGAAGATTAACAGAGTGCATTCATGAACACCAACTAGCAGTCAGAAGACACAATGAAAACTCCTTAATTTCACAACACATGGACAGACTCAACCATAGTTTCAACTGGGAAACTGTGAGCATATTTCACAACACATGGACAGACTCAACCATAGTTTCAACTGGGAAACTGTGAGCATATTTCACAACACATGGACAGACTCAACCATAGTTTCAACTGGGAAACTGTGAGCATCCTAGACCAAACTAAATCCAAAAACGCTAGGGAATTCCTGGAAGCTTGGCATTCAGACAAATCAGTCATCAGTAGACACATAGAAATAAATCATTTACACACCATTCAAAGGAGACAATAAAAAAAGGTAAGAAAGAAACAAAAAGACCAGAACATATCCTCTCTAGCACCCAACACCCAGATAAGCAGGGATTAACACCAGGCAAACAAGCAGAAAACAATACCCTAATCAAGAAACTACCAAGGAGAAAACCACACCCCCACCAACACTGGCAGGACAAGAAACTATACATAAACAGGGAGTAAACCCCACACTCACTAGCACTGACAATGTTACCTAGTTGGGTAATGAAACATCTGCAAACAAACAACCAAGCTCAGCACCAAGAACTCCACAGATATGTATAGAATTGCGTTGAAATTGATTGATTATGGTTGCACCCAACTCTGAATAACATTGGATTGATTGAAAAATTTCCAGTTGTACTTGCATGGCTGAATGGAGCTCTCAAACTCCCTCTTATAGAAGCTCTCTAGGTCTTCACACCCTGGCCCCATCCCTCTCCCTGTTGGAGTAGCAGCTTGGTAGTTCTCACTTACATCATCTATCTTCTAGGGGACTTCTCAGCTGGCACACCCTCCTCTCAAATCCCAATGTGTGAGAAAAATAAGGCTCCCACCATCTTCCTGCCATTACTGGCAAGTAAAAGATGATAAAAATGAAATAAATTCTATAGAGCCACTTCCTGGATGAGGGCTGTGAGAATAAGTTTGGGAGACAGCCTGGACAATGAATGTTCTGAGTCCAAAGGAGGAATTAGGGTGGAGTAAGAGTCTCAGAAGAGACCCTCTCTAGTTCTCTAGAAAGTAAAGGCAGGGGAAAGGGGAAGTGCTTTCAGGCTTTCAAATTTTGTTTCTGTAACTTTATAGTAAGGATAATACAAGTAGTCCTTAACTTACGACCATTCATTTAGCAGCTGTTTAAAGTTAAGATGGTGCTGCAAAAACTAACTTGCGACTGATCCTCACGCTTATGACCATCGCAGCGTCCCTGCAGTTATGTGATCAAGATTTGGGGGCTTGGCAACTGACATGTATTTACAGTTGCAGCATCCCAGTGTCACATGATCACCATTTGCAACCTTCCCAGGGTGCTTCCAACAAGCAAAGTCAATGAGGGAAGCCGGATTCACTTAACGGCCGTGCAAAAAAGCTGTAAAAAATTGGGTGTAACTCACTTAATGACTGCATTGCTTAGCGACAAATTGTGGTCCCAACTGTGGTCGTAAGTCAAGGACTGCCTGTATTAGTACTCATGGTTTTGGTTTCTTGTCTGTACTACCTTGAAGGGCTGACAGGCTGGATAGAGTTGAGGTGTGTGACTAATAAAATCAAGACTTACTCTCTTTGGGAAATTTGTCTATCTCAAAAAAGAGAATATTTATATTATTATATTATATTATATTATATTATATTATATTATATTATAAAAGGACAAATTCCTTTTTAGCTTAAAATAATCCCTCGTAAAACTTTTAGAAGCAAAGAGATAAAAATATTTAAAAAATTATATAAAAATATAAAAAGAGATAAAAATATAAGATTGTTCAAAAGGATTTCCTATAGAAAAATATAAAGGAATTGGTCTGCTTCCAATTCAAAGACAGCGTAGTTACTGAGCTTCTACAAAGAATAAAACCAGAAACAAAAGATGAGACAAGGACACATTATTACCTATCCTTTCAGAGATAGCTTTCCAGAAACAGTGAAGGAAGACAGCCTTAGTAGCAAAAAAAATCAGGAGCAGCCCAGTAGCACCATTTCTGACTTCTGTACACATTTTATTTAAAGGCTTCCCTTCCAGATCCCTGGCGATTCCAGTCATTTAATTCTGAGGCTGCTGAAGAGATGGAATGCATCTGTTTCTTAGCTTCCATTCCCAGCTTCTATCCTCATTTTAAAAAGACACAACCTTTTTCTGTCTAGTAGGATGGGAGTGGTTTGAGGATAAAGTCCCTGCATATGTGATCTCAAGCTAAGCCTCAGTCACCATGAATGCCGACTGAAACTGATCTGGCTGTGTACATCTGAGAATTCCTAATGAGGATGTCACCAGTTACATACTGCCTCCTGGTGGTCAGTGTGGCTGGCTGTCAGTGAATATGGGGAGAGGGGCTTGTCTGCCCTTTTACACATTAACCACTATACCATACTGGCTTGCAATGGCAGAATTACGTGCTTCCTGGACAATAAATAAAGTAATTACAGTGAAGTGGAATTGATCACCCTTAAGGTTAAATAAGAAAAAACATATTGCTATTGATTAGCCAAACAGGGCAACAGAAACTGTAAGCAAGAGGAGACAACCTGGCATTTTGAGCTTCAGTATCCATAATCTCTTTACTGCAACATAGCTGGAGGGCAACTGGTTGCCTACCCCATTGGAGATACTGCTCAGTTTCTGAATACCTCATTTAGAATGTTTGGTTTTTTTAACTTCCGCTTCTTTCATCTACCATGTCACTGCCAGCCATGCTGGTACCTGTATTTAGTACTTGTCTTGCCTTGCTTCGTTTCCTAGCATGTAGCCACTACTTCCCTCCTGCTACCTGAGCAATTGTCCTTCCGCATTTACTGCACAGAGGTCAACCAAGAGGAGCCCACAAAGCCTGTTGATCGTGAGATAGATTCACGTTATAAAGAAATGCCATGGAAATACTTGGAGAGTGAAGGTATGCCTGGAACGCAGGGAGAAGGGAAGGGTTTGCGTGGGTCTAGAGTCTGATGAAAAATGCAGTTTATTTGGTTCTGGGTTGGTGTTTTTGTGCAAACTCACCCAGATGTGGTTTGGGTAACAAACCATGGTTAAACAACTGTGGTTTACCATAATGTGTGAACTAAGTCTCTTCATGTTTACAAGATTTCTCAGAACTGGTTATCTTAGTACAGCACCACATGAGTAGGAAAGGAATCCATATTGCTAAGGATGCCTTTACAGCAACAGAAGTAGATAATGGTTGCAGTTGAGGTTTTTTAACGTGTTAAATGTACTCAGACCGTACGATAGCAAAATAGTAAAAAAATAGAATAAAAACAAGCAAGCAGAAACCACAATAGTTACAGATTTTGATTTCTGCTTAGCAACCCTATAATTAAAGATCACTGAAATTGTACCTTTGCCCTCATCAGAATTAGCTTATATGAACTCTTCAATCTGGAATAACAACACTGTAAATAACTAGATTCACATCTGAACCGAAACTCCTCACTTAGCCTGAGGTAGGAGTTCTTCCAGAGAGAAAAAGAATGTGAATGAGAGAAAGGATCATGCATGCTGCCCTAATTTTCTTGAGGAAAAGCCAGGGTATCTGGATATAAATGTAATAACGTATTGGAGTACACAACTCATTCAAATACTTTCTGTATTAAAGACATGTTTCTTAGCTTTTAGGGTGAAATAATGTGGTAAAGTAGGTTATGTACACATTAGAAAACATGTTTTGTTTTGAACCTGGAATGAGGCATTGTGCTCTGGATGTTCTGTCAAATCGTTTTGGGTGAGCCACAATGTGGGAGAAACAAAACCTGGGACCCTTTGGTTATTCTAGGTTTTACACAAAACAAATCTGGAGGGATCCTGGGTGATTTTATAGGGTGCATTGGGGCAAGGCTGGTGCATGTCAGTCCTTTCTTCCCATCCTCCCCTTAGCAGCTCCCAGCGTGCTATATGCTGCTGGCCAGTCCCAGCATCTTCCCTTCCATCAGTCGCCCATTGCATTGACCTGTGGGCCTGCTTGTTGTTGCAGGGGTCTCAGTAGTAAGGGGCAGGCTCCAGATGGATTTCAGCTCACCCACTACCCTAATCTTCCCAGCAGCTTCCTTCCCCTCCATCCTTAACTTCCCGTTAGCCATCACCACCAGTGGTCTTGGTTTGACCCAAAACAACAGCCCTGTTTCCATATATGGACTCAAAAGCCTTCAGACACACATTTAAGCTTGGGGATGAATCACTAAAACCAGTTATTCCATGCACGGAATGGTTTGTATGTAGAACATTTTGCACATTCCTACTGTATAGGTATTTAGGGCAAGTTCCTTATCTCTTCACGTCTCAGTAGTGAAGCCTCTGCTTTTTTGGAGGACAGAATCCAAGGTAGACACCTTTCAGTGTTTCCTTTTTTGTTTTCTCTCTTCACACAGTCCACTAAAGCATAATGTGAGTGTTTTGTTTGTCTTAGTAAGCGCAGCCAATTATGGGTAAATAGGTAAATTTAGGATTTCATAAATCCTTGGGAGGCTTCATTGCTCATATTTACATATTTATAAGCTGAAAGCTGCTGTCATGGAGGGCTGTACCTAAGAAAGATGGAGAGATGGCCGTAGAGAGGGACCTGTGTGGAGAGTCTGCTTTATTGGACAAAAGTTCCACATTCGTCAGTTTTATTGCAATCTGCTTTTTCTTCCTGGAACAACACTTAAAAGAGTTTTTGGGCAGTTCCCAAACCTGTTTAGCTTCAGCATGTTTTCCTAGTGTCAGTTGCTTTCATCTCTTGGAGCTCAGCCTATTCATTTCTCCTTGGCTTCCTTCCAGATGAAGCTGGAAAAAGGGAAGACCTAGTTCAAAATTTGGCAAGGCTAATCAAGACAGTATGGCACTAGGTGGGCAGGTGGTCTTGTTTAGTATAAAGTAATCCCTTCTGTTGTTATAGTGAGCATCAGTTTGGAGCTGGTTACACAGTCATGAAAAATTGCCTATCCTCATATAATGCTTCCTGTACCCTAAGATCAAACAGGAGACTAGGTGTACAGGATTACTTATAAAATGGATTCATCCAGCAAACTCTAGCAATGGTCTTTTCAGGGCCCTCCTGTATAAGACTCTTAACTCATATGGATAAGATCACATCAGGTCTGGCTATACATTGGTGAAGCTCCATTTTTTTATTATTATTTCCATCTAAGATGCATTCATTTAATGAGCTTGAATTAGTATTTATTTCATTTTAGCAGTCTAACTTAACACCAAAATTAACTGTTACAACTGTTAAACAATTGAAAGTTGGACAAGTTAGTCCTGGGAAAGGAGGAAGCATAAGAAAGAAACTTAAAATAACCCAGCTTGATTCTGTTTGGTACAAGAGGGGGCAAAGGGACACACTTTCAAGAATCTGTCATTATACCCTACAACTATAAAGTAGCACTCCTGGAATCCTTGAGGTGTCTGTTTCCTGACCTGACCTACATCGAAGGGTTGACAGTGTTCATGAGACAGTAACTCGTTGCTACTGTATATGTATACTGAGCACATTTGTAAAATAATTAAATGCTTCATGAGTAGTTCTATTTTCTTGTCATTTCCTCTTTAGAATACATAAATAAATATGGCAGCAATCCTGTCTGGTTTGGATACAGGCGTAATTTCAAGGGTCAGATTCCACCACAGAAGACCCGGAAGATGTGCATTGTGAGTACATTCTGTTCACGTATGTGACGGTGAACCTGGAGAACTGAGCGTTAGAAAAATAGTTACAGTAATGTGAAAACTCATGAACTCAATGTAATAAGACTTCGCAAGTGCTATTTTAGTGAAACGGTGTATAAATCCAGTCATGTCATACTTAGACGTAACCCACTAAGATCGATGCAATTTATCATGATTAATGGAAGTCTTGATGGTTCACCTCACCAAATTCTGTTGCCAATCAACCATGCTTTAGTTTACATGCTTCTTTTCTCCTGCACCCCAACTTCCAGGTCATTTTTAGTTCAAAAGTGTTTTTACTGGACTTGAAGCAAATATGGAATTATAAAATTTAGCAATAATATGCTAACATTGTAAAAGTCACGTTTACAACAACTCTGTTTTTCCCTTAATTGGTTAAGTGGTGTAAAAAGCAGTAAAAATTGTATGAACAGTTGGATAAGATAAAGCATATCGGTAATTTGTACTTGAAGGGAAATTTCAGACTTAAGTGATAGATTGTATATTTTGTATTAACTGTATGCAGTATAGCATGGTTTGTTCCATTTTTCCTCTTTGAATAGGCTAATCTGAGTATTTGGGAGAGGAGGGGCAGATAGTTTGCTTAATTAATCTAGAAATTGTAGGGGCTCCTTAGACCATTGAGTTCAAACCCCTTCTCAGTACAGGAGTCCTTACTAATTTATCCTGAGAGAAGACGGTTGGATTTCTGCTTGAACCTATCAGGAGGAATGAATGGGGAGGGCAGTTATTGTTGAACCAGCTATTTGTTCTTTCATTGAGACTCTGTCTTACTGTAATTAACAAGTCCATTATTCTGCATTCTGGGATAATATAGGTTTTCATCTTACTTTATGTGATATTATAGTATAGTATTTTAAAATCTCTCCTTAGTCTCTTCTTTGTGAAACATTTATAGTTCCTTTAATTTCTGTTCATGAGACAATTTCCAGTCCCCTGTTCATCCGTGAACTTGTTCCAGTTGTCTGAATGTTCCTTAAAGTGGTGTGCCTAACACCAGGCACATTATTTAAAGGTGGCCATTTGACCAATGGGGCATATATAGCATTCTCTTATTTAATTTTCCCATAATAACATTCAACTTTGTACTTACAGAGAAAAGATCATATCTGCGGGAATCCCTGTCCCATCTGTAGAGATCAAAATCTTTTTGTGGATTATAGGGTAAGAATAGTGGTGTTTTTTTTCCTTACATTTTTGTTGAAATATATCTAACTTACCTGAAAGTCTCCAAAGTAAAGATTCAGACATGTTCCATAGATATTTAAGCACGCTACAAATAATATAAAAATACAGAAAGTGCTGAAACAGCTGGACATAAAGACTATAAGGGCAGCACTGAAATTTTGTGGAAAACAATTGCAATAGCACTCAGAAGCTAACAGGGTAAACTTTGACAGGAAGTTTCAAACACTGATGCCGCTGCAGAAACAACTCTGTTCTATCTTGCTATAGTGGTATTCAGGCAGCAACAAAATAGTTGAAATGGCTGTATAAGCTATGTTTCCTTTTCCAACTGATGAGTAAAATTGGGCATGCCCTTTCATCTTACAGAATGTGAAGCTTCTTGAACAGTTTATCTGCCCCCACACGAATATCATATATGACCCAATCCATACAGGTAAGCCAGCTATTGCATTTCATGCCTTCCCCAGGTATGGTCTTTTTTTTCTTTTTTTTTTACTGGTTTTGTCTAACTATTCTGGTTACTTCTGCTCTCCCCCGACTCCATACACAATGTTATTGCTGACGACATTTGCATTCATTTGCAGCAATTGCAGTATTTTCCAAAACCTTGCTTTAGAAACTGTCCCAGTTGGGTGGCTGTGGCACTTCAGCTTCCAATTTGCCAATTTCCACATTGCTTCCAATTTGTGGCTTTTCGGGTGTTATCTTACAACTCTCATTTTCTCCAGGCAAGATCCCAGGGCTTTGGAATGATAGCATTTTAGTACAACATCTGAGGACCTAAGTTGGAAACCATAGGACACGTGTTGCCTCTTCTGTTGTGGGAATACATAGCACACAGAATGAACTCCCTGAATGCAAATCTGTCCAGAATTCACAGAGTTCTATGTAGCTATTGGACATATACTGTACTTGTCCTCTTGATTTGAGTGTGTGTGAACAGAACAGGGTAGACTGAGAGGTCAGGGATTTACCAGCAGTATAGGAGGAATAAGGAAGTGGAGATACATGAAGGATGTGACTGGCTAGTTCAGGAAAGGAGGATGGATCTCAAAGATGAATATTAGAAGAAGGAAATAAAATTGTACCAGAAATTGGGAGCAGAATGTCAGAAGGTATGAAGATAAAAGTTGGAAGAGATCAAGAGAAAAGATGATAATGAATGGCTGCCGTAGGCTGCTGGTCCCATTTCAAAAAGGAGTAAATACTTATAAGGGAGTAGAAAATATGTGTCCAGAATAGTGAGACTTGGAGCATTTATACAAGGAAAGGCCATAGCACTTAAAGCTTTATAATTTAGGAAAAAAATAAAGAAAATGGAGGTTGAATGGAGGTCTGCAAGTTCATAACATTATAGATGGTGTGAGAAATAATTTTTCCCGTTCTTCTAAAAGTCCAGCATCTTAACCACAGTTAAGCTGACTCTGTTAGGCCCAAGATGCTATTGAATTAATTCAAAAGCAAGTGTGATAGACTGGAATGGAGGAAGGGGGGTA